TATCGTGTATAGTCGCATATGAAACACACGAAGTACTTCGCGTGCCCCAACGACGCACACTCCATGGGTCCACACAGATCAGCATGGATGAGTTCACCTGGTTCCGTAGCTCGTTGCTGTCGGTTCCTGAAGCTGTCGCGATGTTGCTTCCCCTCGACACAAGCGCCACAGAACTCTCGGTCTTCCGTTACGCTTATTCCAGTTCGAGACAAGATTTGCTTAATATGACGCTTGTTTTGGTGTCCCAATCGTTCATGCCATATTTGCAGTGAATCCTTCGACGATAGATTCACTTCACACGCTTGCCAGACCTCCGGTTGTATCACACGAATCGTCATTTCAAATAATTTACCGACCCGTACACCCCGCGATTTCACAATACCGTCTTTTACGAACTCACACTTGTCTTTAGACGACTTGAAACATAAGCCGTTGTCCAGTGCAGCCGTCACGGAGAGCAAATTTCTACGGGCACTCGGGGCATACAGCACATTATCCATGCGACTCTTTATCCATTGTCCATCGACTGCTGCCTCGAATTTTATTGTTCCCTTTCCAAGCGCCAGCATTGCTGATTGGTTGCCAATGTTGATTTTTAGCGGAGTCTCGAAGCACTCAAACGATATGAACCAGTCTTTGTTGTTGGTTATGTGATCAGTTGCACCTGAATCCGCAATCCACGATTGATTGTTGGGCTCGGCAACCATAACCTCACCTCACTTATATACGCTTGTTCACCGTCTGTCGTTTTCTTTGATTTCTCACTTGGACAATTTCGGCGGATATGTCCTACCCCACCGCAGTTATGACACTTGAAACTCGGTTTCTTTCCTTTGCCTTTTTCCGGTTTCTTCTTCAGTTGACTCTTGTTGTCACTTGTGGCTCTGTGTTCACTTTTTCCGGGTAGACTCCCTGGTGCGACGTTCGACTTCGTCTTGGATGCCATCAGCGCCACCATTTCTTCCTGCCTCCGATTTTGGTACTTCCTGCGCTTCTCGTCGGACGTTAAGAGCGCCACCAAATTCTCAATTGTCTGCTGATCGTCAGGCCTAGCCCACCATGCTTGTCGTAGGCTTTCGTACTCTTCCGGGAGTGTATCGAGTAGCTTGACCATAATGGACGACTTATCCGGTTTCACGTCTAGATGTTGCATACGCAATATCAATCCCTCGAACTTCGCTATATGCGTCACCATATCGTCGGACGGGTCCATGCTAAAGCCGAAGTATTCCGATTGTACGACGTGAGAGGCTTGCTTCGTTTGTTGCTCGAAAATTCCGTGCAGCTTCTCCCACATTTCTCGCGCACTATCACAGGCCACTAGCAGCGCCATCACTTTAGATTCTAGTGTCTTTACGATTATTTGACACGCGGACCGATCTGCCTTATCCCATGCTCTCAGGCTTGCCTCGTTTTCCGTTCGCTGCGCAGCGGTTGCTTCCACGGATAAAGCCGCCGGCTTGGTAATCTTACCGATACACACTTCGAATGCACCTTCTGTCCCACGCAACAAATTTTACACTGCGAATTTCCAAATGTTCCAGTTCTCAGCTCCACGCAGTCTTTCAATCCCTTGGTACTCCATACTTAGTCGTTATCAGGAACGCGTCCAAGGAATTCACTTCCGATTCAGAAGCACGACACGTTTCTTGCCACGCAGAGAAGGTTATCAAACACTTACGTTTCAAGCAGGGAACCACGCTCTGCTACCATGTTAATGTTTACGTGGTCTTACCCCAAATAATAGACAAACATTAATATGCTTTATCCAGCAATCAATTAACGTTTAATTAACGTAAGGTTACACTCTACAGATATCGTGGCGAAAACGTCCGATGTGAGCGAGCGGACAAAAGAGACTAGACTAACACACTGTAACGTAGCAGGTTAGGCAACTTAGGTACAAAAGATCTGCTCAGTGGTGTCAATACACGAAAAAGAAAATTAACAATGGAAATGTTTTACATACTACAACAGTATTGATTGGCTACAAGATAGAGGATTTCTAGAGACTCGAAACTTCTTTATCCTGTAGCCAATCAACATGCTTGAAAAATTTGTAGTACGACAAATGAAATGTTAGCCTGAGAACATACTTGTTAGTCATCGTCATCACCCAACATAACGTCGTCATTCTCCGAGTCTTCCGTGCTTTGATTGCTTTGAGGAGTTTGGGGATACAGCGTCGCCGTAGTCATTTTTGCCAACATATTTTTTGTCGGCTCAACCTTGATGCAATCTTTATTCAAATGCTGGCTGGTTAAAAGTAACCCTTCTATACTATCAGTTATCAGCTTATTTCGTACTTTTGTTTTACACAAATTAACTTTGCTGAACACGCGCTCGCATTCCGCGTTAGAATGTGGCACTACGAGTGCATCAAACGCACATTTCATCAAGTTAGAAAAAACACCGACTTCTTCGTTTTTTATTTTGAGAATTTTACTCCAAAAAATATCGGCATTATCGTCAGAGTTTATATCGCCAGGTAACGTGAAAAACGGGAGCTGTCGCCATTCATCATCGATTTTCTGATATGAATTCTCATGGACTATTCGCGGCATTAGCGTCATTATCGGAAGCAGAGACGGTCTATGAGTTCGATAATTTTGTGACATTGCCTTCATCGTCGTGAAGCTTTCCAGAAGAGGAAGAACAGGGTCTTTGAAATCGAATCGCTTTTTTAATTCTATACAGTTCGTAATTAGAAATCTACGACATCCTTCGAAGAAATGGTTTCGTAGGTCAGGCGGCTGGTCCCTCAATTTTTCAGAACTTAAAGCCGTTATTACTTTCACGCCTAAATACATTGATTGTACGTTTATGTATTTACTCTCGTTTGTCGGATCTAAATCGGCAAGGCGCGTTTGGAGAACATACATTCTATCCATACAGGAGCATAAAATGTCGGTATACGCAACCTTCATCTTGCTATACATATAGGTTGACTATCACCACTTTATCCAATTGAAAGTACCGATTCAATGTTACGAATTTCGGTAAAGCCCATTCTAGGAATAAGTAGAAGAGATGAATCAGAGGATCGTTTAAAGCATTATACAGGGTGAGGCATTTAAAACTGTTTTTCAGAATATTTGGAAAAATACAAATCGGATTAAAAAAAAGTTTCAATAAAATTTGTTCACCCCGAAGAGGGACATCCATTAACATAAAGCTCGACCCCCCTGCACCACCCCCGGGGGCGGGAGAGGGGTGACTTTGAAATCTTAAATAGAATCCCCTATTTTTTATTGCAGATTTGGATTCTCCGTGAAAAAATATGTAACTTTTGTATGAGACATTTTTTTCGTTTCATGATGGCGCTGCAATCGGCAAAAATGAAAATGAGTTGAAAATTTTTGAAAAATGGTAATATCTCAAAAAAATACACATCAGAATAGGAAAATTAAAGTAAATTGTTTGATATTTTTGAAAATGCTATCATGTGACACCGTCTACCCTCCTGCAATGCATTCTTAGACTACTTTTAGCTTTACCGAGGAACAACGACGTGGACGTAGTAGTAATTTGTTCCCTTCGGGGTGCTTGATTACTGTGAGTCCTCTTCTTTTCCTGATTTTGAGCCAATTGAGCTCGGTATAGTAGGGTGTTATGTGCTCCTCAATCCTGCACTGACAAATGAAACGTACACACGTATTCAGCGATCTCTGTAGCTTGGCATTTTGCACGCCAGTAATATCAGTCAGGAGTACGCAGCAGTAATCGAAGTGAGGCAGTACAAGTGTCTGGACGAGAGAGTGACGTACACATCTGGGAAAAAGATCCTTGCAGAGTTTCAGTTGATGTATTATGCAACTGACTTTCTTGACGATCTTGCTGACATGGCCCTCCCAGGAGAGGTTGCTCATTAACCGGACTCCCAGATCCGACTCAATGGAGTCGGAGAAAGTGACCTCCACACCGTTAACTCTTATGGCTGGAAGATCTTCAGAGAGGATGCAGTTGAGGTATCTCGCAGTACCGAAAATTACAGCCTTGGACTTTCCGGGATTGAGTCTCAGCTTGCTTTCTAAGGTCCAAAAGATGATCCGCTCAATGTCTTAATTGATCAAGAGAATAGAGTTGTGGATGTCGTTAGGTTCGCTGTGTAGATAGATTTGCAGGTCGTCGGCATAGAAATTGTATTTACAGTGCTGAAGAACATGCCTGAAGTCGAAGAGGAACAATGAGAAAAGAAGTGGTCCCAAAACGGAGCCCTGAGGCACTCCGCTTCCCATCTCTATGAAGGAAGACACGTTGCCACTCGAGGTATCTCTCACTGCTTGACATCTGTCGGAAAGGTATGAGCCGAGCCAGTGCAGAACAGAGTTTGAAAAGCCGAGTGCTGCCAGTTTGGTGATAAGCAGTCTGTGAGAGACGCAGTCGAAGGCCTTGCTGAAGTCGAAGAAGACGGATACTGTGACCATCCTTTTGTCAGCGGCAGATCTCACGTCGTCCAGCACCCTGATCAGCGCGGTCTGAGTGGAGAAACCACGCTTGTAGGCCGACTGGAACGGATCAAGACGATCCAGGCGCTCCAAATATGCTGATCTGCCTGGCCGCGATCTTCTCAAGAACCTTAGAGATGCTGCATAAAATGGAAATAGGCCTGTAATGTTGAGGAGCCTCAGGCACCCGAACCTTGGGCAGAGGCACAACCAGCGCACGTTTCCACAAAGTCGGAAAGGTGTTGAGCGTGAAAAAGGACTCGAAGATGTGTAGCATTTCAGGCAGAAGACAGGGAAGAGCGATACGCAGTAGTCGGCTAGGAAGTCTGTCGATGCCCCTAACCCGAGAGCTCGCGCCAGAGAGTGCGGAAACAACCTCCTCAGGTGTCACGCCGCTCCAGAAGAACTTGTTTTCGTCCAGGCCCACGCCACCAATACAGGGCAACACAGAGTCAAGAGCCTCCCCTCGGTCGCCAGTGGAGGAGAAATATAGATTAAGCTCCTCAGTTGAGCATGGTAGTGGTCTTCCTGAGTTCTTAGATTTGATGATACCCAGGTGTCTCAGCTCGTTCCATGCAGTGCCAGGGTCGCTACAATTGCTGAAGAAGTTGGTGAAGTAGCTCTTCTTAGCATTCCTAACGAGGATCTGGACCTCATTCCTGAGATCCTTGAACAAGCGGTGTAGTCGGTCGCATTTGTGTTTTCTCCACTGTCCTCTGACTCTGTCCCTCTCGCGCATCCTGCGTTTGATCTCCTCGCTGAGCCAGGGTGCCGGAAGCTTGCGGGGCCTGATGAGGCGCTCAGGTGCGTGCAAGTCGAAGCTCTCCAAGAGGAAGGAGTTGAAGAGTTCGACCTTATGATCGACGCTATCGACCTCATAGAACCTGGTCCAGTTCTTCGCCAGTAGGTCCCTGGTGAACTCCCCGAAGTCAAAGGTCCGCAAATCTCTTGCCCAGATGTCCTTAGCCTGAGTTCGATCGACCTTGATTTTGTAGGTGATGTGTATAAGATCATGCGAGGAGAGGAAGCTGACATCGTGCTGTCCGTAGCTGACGACCTTCTCAGAGTCGTCGACAATGCAAAGGTCCAACCACGTGGAGGATGACCTGGTATGGTGGGTGCTGGTATACGGTATCAAGTAAAAACTGGCGCAGTCCACGAAGTCCAGGACCCGCCCGGCATCGAAGGAGGCCGTAGAGAGGTCAGCGTTGAAGTCGCCGAAGATGACAGAGTGCGAGTAAAGAACGCTAAGATCCCGGAAGGCATCACAGAATTCCTGTAGATCGCCACAGTGAGGTGGTCGGTAGACCACTGCAAGAAGGAGTTTGGCTCAGTTCTTGAAGTGGATCTCGGCCAGCAGGAATTCCGGGTTGTGGCAGTAATTCTCAGCGGAGCATTTCAGGATCTTACCCCTCAAGGGCTCCCGCAGATAGAAGGCCACTCCCCCCCTCCACGGCCCACGCGGTCCCATCTGTAGAGCTGGAAGCCATCGAAATTCACAAAATCATCCGTGACCTCGGGGCGCAACCAGGTCTCGGACAGACAAATTATGTGATATCCAGAGTACATGAAGAAAGTCCTGAACTCGTCCAGGTGCGCAACTAGAGACTGGCAATTTACGTGACAAACTTTGAGGTCGTCAATGATCAGAGTTCTGTTATTCGCCATAATTAATTAATTTGATTTTGTCAAGGACTCTTATGCAATATTGGGCATTTCTTGCTGTCAGTTGCTGAGTGACGATTATTATTCCGCGAATGCCATCTTTTGCAGTTGCCACCAGTAGGGGGTTGGCTCTCGTTACTGCAGTCCTTCAACTCATGACTTCCAGAGCAGTGTCCACAGACCGCGGGCGAAGCACAGTTTCGTGAAATATGTCCGAAGCCGAGACATCGGAAACACTGCAGAGTACGAACATAGTCTGCGTACCTGCAAGCAGAGTACCCTACATATATGAAGGGCTCCTGACGTAGGGCATTCCTCACTTCAGGAGACACTTCGATGACGCAGCTAGTGTGAGAGCGGTTTTTTGCCGGAAAAGCGTAGACGAACCTAACAGAGGGATCTTTGGCATCCCTGAGATTTAAGTCCACGATCTCGCGGTTAATCGTTTCGTTGGTGGCGGAAATCGGAACTCCGTGAATGATAATCCTAGGATTGAGCCTCACGTCCCTGACCACCTCCAGCACAGCCTCGCTCAGCTCGGGTATACTCCCAATCGCCTCGAGATCAGAGCCTCGATGCGCACCCCGTTATCTCGCGCAGCAGTCAATTTGTTAATCCTAAGAGATATTTTTGACGGCTTAAGCACCCTTCGGACCTCCTCCCTAGTTGCCTGAGTTAGAGAATCTAGGGTCGATAGGGTCCTTAGGCTGTATCAAGAAGCAGGTCGTTCTGGGCACAGCAACCGCTGGCCCTCCTGACAGCTGCACTTTTGTTGTCTTGACTACTGAAGCGTAGGTTCTAGGCCTGCACTCCTCACCACCGGAAGATGCTCCTCCTCCAGCGGGGGCGAAAACTGAGGTGTTCATCCTACAGTGCAGAGCCTCAATGACTGTTTTGCGTATGTCCTCAAGTTTCGGTAAGCCGCCACTCGACACCGCCTCCAACAGACCCAGGCAAGCACCAGCGACCTCATGAAAAGCTTCATTGCAAGCCCTGAAGGCGGACTCCAGTGTTTCCTTATGCTCAATAGTATCCTTGCTGCCTAACAAGACGCTAGCAAAATTATCATTATGTGATTTGACAGACGATCTAAAAACGTTAATTCTAGAGATAATTGAGGACGGCTCAGAGAGAGAGAAACTCAGCGAGAGAAAGAGCGAAATAAGAATAATTTGAATACTTTCAAGAAACATCGTAGTAAAGTTAGATTTCTCTCTTAAAGCTTCCTCTATGAGGAAGCCATAACAATGGAAGCAATGTGCAAATTTCTAATTTGCCTACTTTAATGATGAGGAAGAAATGTGCAAATTTCCAATTTGCACGCTTCAATGATGAGGAAGCAATATGCAAATTTCTAATTTGCACACTTTCAAGAAACGTAAAAAAAAAATTAGATTTCGCTCCTAAACCTTCCTCTATGAGGAAGCCATGTGCAAATTTCTAATTTGCACACATTACTTTACTTTACTTTTTCTAATTATATTTTATATTGTTCTTCAGTTTTTTCAATCCAAATTTCATATATAATTCATTAAATTAAAGAAAATTTGAGATAGTTACACCAACCACAGACATTTCTAAAAAAAATTAAAAATTAGAAAACCTTTTACCGGTCATCGCCATATTCAAGAGGTATGCCTCTACCTGTGTATTGAAACTTTTTGCTTCTACAAGTGTGTACATTTCTTCATTACATTGTGTACCATCACTTTTGAAACACCCTGTATAATGAAAAAGAGGGACCTCTACCTATGTTTATTAGGACTTTTTGCTTATACTAACATTTCACCATTACATTTTGTAGCATCACTTTTGAAACAACCAGTATAATGAAAAAGTGTTCATGTACTGATTCCGCGAAATTTCAAACATCCGTAACTCAAGAACCAATCAACCGAATATTAATCAATTATATATGAAATAGGGGTAGAAAAGACAGGAAAGAATAATAGAATTAGAAATAGCCCGATGTCTCAAAATTTGCAAAAGTTAGAGTAACCACAGACATTTCTTAAAAAATTCAAATTTTTTTCAAAAAGAAACCCGTTTACCAATCATCGCAAAAATCAATACCAACCTTCCTTTAGTGATTCTTGACGTTTTAAAAACAAATTAGCCCGATATCTCAAAATTTGCAAAAGTTAGAGCAACCACGGACATTTCTAAAAAAATTCAAGATTTTTCAAAAAGAAACCCATTTACCGATCATCGCAAAAATCAATACCAACCTTCCTTTAGTGATTCTCGACGTTTTAAAAAAAATTAGCCCGATATCTCGAAATTTACGGAAGTTAGAGCAACCACGGACATTCGAATGCGTACACGCACGCACGCACGCACGCACGCAGACATTTTGTAAAAATATGTTTTTTTGACGTTTTAAAACATTTTAAACATATTACCTAAGAAAACTGGAAAAAAAATTTTGTCACGAAAACAAAGCTTCCTCTATGAGGAAGCAAAATAATTTATTTAATGATTCGGACAATGATGACTGTAATGATGAATTTCAGGAAATACCATTACAAAAGCATGATATGATAACGGATTATATTATTTATTATATTAGTGGATATATTGTGAAAAATATAAAATACCTCAACTGTGATTCTTGTGCTCTAAATTTAAGAAACATATCTTCTAATCAAAATTATGACAGTCATGAAGACACATTTTCACGATTTTTAATTTGTGCAATAATGGTGGATTGGTAAAACCTTCTCCATCAGTATTCTACATATACCGTCCCAGGGGGGGGGGGGTGATGTTGGCGATATCGTTGGATATCTCCAACGCGTTCAACACCCTCCCCTGGGGACGAATCAGGGGGTCGCTCCAGCGCCACGAGGTACCGCCGTACCTTACCTCGCACGCGTCGTGAGCGACTACCTGCGGGACAGGTGGGTCGAATG